AAACAAGCCAACCGCAACACACAAACCGGTACTATTAAATATGCAAGATAGATTCGAGTTGCTGATTTGTGTTGTACAGTTCGGAACGAGCCACAACATGGCCTTGAGTCTGCTATATGACAGATTTGTCCCTCACATCCTTTAAGAGTTAACGCCCCTATAAAAATTGTTATTTAAAAGGCAGGACCTCAAATTTTGACGTCAATCTCTGATAGAATTGGGTCAAATAGGTTGAGAGCTTTGAAAACTCCACAAACAACCACAGTTCAATAACCCCCAGTTTGGGATTCAAACCAGGGTCATCAGCCTCGTAGCCCAGCATGATACCAGGGAGCGCCTGCAATCACCCTTGTAAAACAGCCATTGACAAGAAAATGACATGAATTTTTGCTATGATTTGAGCTACAGCTAATGTCATTGGTTTGAAATAACTTTAGGAAAAGTGTAAATGAGTAGGCAATGGCCAGTTATCAAAACAGACGTGAACGTGTCTACATGTACGATAAACATTGTCTGATTATTCACAGTTTCTTGTTTAAGCCCATAGACTTGTATTATAAATCCAATTTTTGCACTGACATAATTCCGTTGCGTTCACCACGGATCGCACAGTTTTACTCTCTTTTGAACCAAACGAAGAGCAAGTAGAGAAAGGTTGTATGCACTTTTGTCCATAGTGATACTGATTTTTGCCCTTCATTTGGGAATCCATGGTGTGCACAAGCTTAGTAATGTGGGTTGTTTTTTTATAAAGACCGAAGCAGCAGACATGACGAGCCCGGCATAGGAATTTATAATTCAAGTCTACGTCTAAGTCTCAAGAGTCTCTATACAATGGCATACTCAGTGGAGGCTACGGAATATACACGTGTCAAATCCATAACAACATTCCATTTGTTATACAATCTTGGCATTGACAGATACTGCACCAATCCAGCACCCTTCGCTAATTTGTTGGCTTCCTCGTTTTCAACTGGAAGAGTGAAGATCAGGTCTTCCCCTTTTGGAATCAAAGACACTGCCTTGCAAAACAACGCATGTGCTACATTTTTGTCATCTGCATAGAGGGGGTACATTTTCCATCCAACGTCTGCAGGTCTCAGTACACAGTATCCCACAATCTTCCCTGAACGAACTGCCACAAAGCTCTGCGCCTTTTTGTGATTGATCCAAAAGTCTAGAAACCTGTAGATATTACATACAAAAAAGAAATATAACTTTTCTTCGAGATCAAACACAGTGCAATAGACTTTCTACTTCTTGTTTCACTGCAAATCTGCTCTAACCAAGTTTTTTTCTGTATTTCATGACATACCTCTAATCAAAGGTAATTTTTACCTTCCCACCTATGAATATTCCTTATAGTTTTATTTTCTATCACCGGTTATTGTTCACGCCTTGTTCCGTTTCTTTTTCGTTTCACTTTACAGTAACTACTGGGATAAGTGGTGCGCCTTCAAAAGGACACTACTGCGTTTAGTAAGGACTTAAACTCAAAGTCATATGAAAACAGACAAAATGTTTGGATTGCAATTCATTACACTCTGAAACGTGAATTTGCGATCAGAACAAAATACGATGATATTGATGGCGGGACAGATGTTTTAAAAACGATGTAGCTCTCAAATTTACCCCCCCCCCCCCCCTCCCATACCCCATCCCCCTCCGAAAAAAATAGTAGCATTTCTACTTTCTGTGACTTTCAAAATGACGTTAGCCTTATTGTGCAGTGTTTTGCAGTGAATGTAGCATACTAAATTGGCCAACTCAAACAGGAAGGATAAAATTGTGGATTTGAACCCCAACAGGGGCTTTGAAGCGTTTTTGTATTCCCTGGAATCTCTTTCTCTTCTCATGTCTTGATAAGAAAACTAGATCTTCAGCCTCCGGAACACTAAATTACGATGTGCCTAAATGTTAAGTATGATCTAAAAGATCAGTTGACTACGAAGTGAATGTGAACTCATTACACATCAACATCACAAGCCCAAACGGCAGAATTGACACCTCAAAATAGCTGCTTTGCAAGTGTGACACTTAAACCACTGGACTAAATTTTAATAAATCTTCCCTTTGCGTACAGCAGAAAGTGTACCTTTTTCTCGGGACTGTGTGGATTTCTGTGTCGTAGCTGAATAGTTCCTCGAAGCTTACATTGTCCGATGACATCAGTTCAAAACCAACCGCAAGTGGGTGTTTGATGAAGTCCAGATTAACCTTTCCTTGGTTGTAGCTCAGTGTGAAAGAAGAGACCTTCCAACCAAACTGCTCGTAGAACGTGACTCGGTTGGATAGAGAGTTCATGCCAACATTTCTGTCTCCCATCAGCTGATGAAATAAAACAAGTATAAACCAGTTGTTTTTACGCCTCTACTGACACAATTTAGACCATTAGGTGGCAAGTTTTCGACCCTACCTGTCCGGGCCAACCCGAGCTGAGAAGGAAATACTCAATAAAAATTTCACCCTATCGGAGGTATAACTCGGGCCTCCTGTGTGCGACAGCACAGCGTCCAATAGCTACATCACAGACGCCGCTAAAGTGATTTAAATGACTCACCACAACCACCACAGTTGCTTAATATAGAGATCAGTATACGCCGAGTAACGTTCAACAGAAAATTTTGGGTCTGATGGCTCTTTTTTCGTAGCAAGGTTATAGAAGACGTGAAACTTTTAATTACATCCACCTCCATATATATCGTCCAATTCAAGTTGATGAAAAGTATTGGAAACTGAAAAATGTGAAAGTGTATACGTTTGACGCCTTTTGCAACCCTGTACGGCTGGGCCTCCAAACGTAAAGCCCATCTCCTATAGGACCGAGCCAAATGGGAAAATGTGTATAAAGTGTTTTTTTTAATGACACAAAATCCGACTGAACTGAGCCTCAGATCTACGAACCTGCAATCTCATGATTACTAGTCTGGTAGCCTAAGCACAAGCTTACGATGCCACTTTAAAACTCCTTACTTTTACAAGCAAAGTTCATGAATTCACCATTAGGGGACGGGTAGCCGGTAAAATCCTAGTATACTGTATGGAAGAAAAAACACATGCAAAAGTAAAGGTTAGTGGTGGAGTACCAAAACGACACACCTCCATGGTAGCCTGCAAAAGCTTCTTGCCGATGCCCAGCTCCCTGTAACCATCTTTAACGATGTTCATGCCAAAAGACGCCAAGTGACTCCCATGTTTCAGTATGCCGTTATGGCCTGCAAATGAAGGAACGCAAGAGAAAAAGCAAACATTAACTCTTTATGATGTTGTTTTTTTCTAAAGTTTTTTTTTTTGCATGTCGGTGTTTTACACCCAGACCAACACAATTCAGATAATTTAGGAGACAGGCTTCTACCGTGCCTGTCAGGCCCAGCCCAAATTGAGAGGGATACAAAGGCTCAGCAGAAAGATGGATATACTCAACACACAATGTTCCAGCTCAGGAATCGAACTAAGGTCTTCTGCATACGACAGCAATACGTTTAACTGCTACACTGCAGACACTGGTTTACCCTTTCTATGCCAAAATATGAGCGCATTTAATAAACTGTTAAAAGGATATCACTGCCACAACAGCACAAGGTATAAGTAGAGTAGAGAGGTCTGAAATTTTCTGACAGGGCTTTGTCATTATAATGCATATATTGTCATACAATTAACAATTTATATCAAAATTATTTACAGCAATAAAAACACGCAGCAGACTTAAACGAATTATGTTTACCGTCTATGTTGTTGTCATTACTATGAGGAGAATACAGTACATACGAGTAGATCAGTCAGAAACTCTTTGATTTGTGAGTAATAACATCATGTTGCAAACTGTGTTTCAGAAATTGACAATGCAGCCTCAGGAAGTATACCCAGCCCTGCGGCTGAGGGCACTTCTGTGGAGACTTTGGTCTTAATATATAAATAAAATTAATTCACTGACTTGCGTAATATTTTTAATTACCGTATATCCATGTGTCATTGAGTGAGGTTTTAAAGCAATATCGGCAGATTTAACGTTGTACAAATGTTCAGGGTGATGTATCCAATCCTTTGGTTTTGTGTATAGCTTCAAGAAATAGAGAATTGCTAGCTCACAATCAGACCTACACTACATCTTCATTAGATTTTAATAGTACTTCGAAATCGTATAACAATTTCAACTGGACTTAAAACTAGTATTTATCTATCTGCGTCTACAATGACAACATTTGCGAGCTGTGCCCTTGATATAAACAATTTTTAATGTACCCTATTTCATCCTACAATTCTCCTTAGAAAAGATGCATTTCCAGAAGCCACCTACATCAGTATTATATCTGTGAGAACAGACGAGAAAAATTAAATCTAATTTGTATTGTCATGTACATGTATAAACTTAACTATGACGTTCCCTTGTTCATCCTCCACTATCAAAAGCCCGGTGGGATCCGTGGAAAATATGCAGTTCAGGTAATCTAATTCCATATTCCATTTATTCTCTGCCAGGAGAGCGTGCAGCTTGGGAATGTCCTCGACTTGCATGGATCGAATGCTGTATTTGACATTTTTGATTGTAGACACTGGGGAACTGATGTAGAATTTTTTTACAATAAAAATAATTACCACAACAACAGTACAGAAAGAGCGTTATGTTCAGAAACCCATCATCCCGACTTGGTTTATCAATTAGGAGTAGTCTATACACAATAGTTTACTGAAAAGATAGGATCAGATAATTATTTACAGCAATTATTACTTAGAGAATTCTAAAAACATAGATTGAAATTAAGACAAATCTGAAACGAATGAAGCATCAAATACCATAAAAAGAATACCCAGTATTGCAAGACGAAAACCCACCCAAGTACATGTCTGGAACAGCCAGAGCCACGAAACACACAAGAATTAAAAACTTTCAATTTACAGTAACCAGTTAGAAAATCCAACAAGACATGCTTTAGCACACTGAAAAAGCAAAACAATAATTACGAAGGGCGCAAAGAGGAAGCGTTTGGTTGCCCATTAATTTGACTTTTCAGTTGTTAACAATTGAAGGATTAGATTGTTTTGAACAGTACTTTTAGTGCATTGCATTTTATTAGTAACATTAACATTTAGCCTGTCTCTAGTTACTGTCAGTATATTCGCTGTATGTATATTATGACTCTAATCTTAACTGCCTTTTGAATTTTTAGCCACCCATGGTTCTGCTCGGTGTTCTTTTTAGAGGAATATCATTCTGTTCTACTCCAAAGACTTGGGGGGCGTAGAGGAATATCATTCGGTAGCTACAAGACCACATGTATGTGCCATCATTCGTATCTGTTCCTTGTGTCCATTATTATTATTTCCCTTATTTGTCAATCGTATTCATCTGCTTTATTTCTGTTCCGTTTCTGTCCCAGTCATGCATCGTCTGACGTATGTCTTCATTGTGCTTGATTATTAAAAGTCTACGTCAAGTCACAAAGAGTGTTGACATTTATCTACTTTTCACCGCTTATTTGCTACAATACCTATACCTGTCCCAGACGCCAGACCAGCGAAAGCGACCTTTGCCTACTGATGTTATGTAAAGTAATAATATTATTATAGATCGTGAGAATTTACGGAGGATGCGAGTGCTGGTTTAGCGACAGGCACTCGGCTAACGGAGGCTGGGTCCGCAATACTACCACCCTCCCCCTCTCCTATTCCACCCTCACCCCAACCAGACGTTAAGTTCACTATCATTAACATAATTTGTTAAAGTCCCCCACTACAACGTATTAGGTCTATGAGTGGCGCTACTTACATCGTTTGATTATAACCGGAACAGGGAATTGTTGTATGTTAGCTGGGCTCAATGCATGTACGTTAAGTACGCTGTGTCGTATCTGATTCTAGACTGGATTTACGTGGAAGAGTATTGCTTTCAGCAGCAATTGTTTCTCCAGGCTATCATATTTATGCTCTTTCACATAATGTGGGCCTTTAGGTACAAGAATGTGTTTTAGGACTCTATGTGTGTTTGGTTTGTAAGTGTATGCATGTGTGTATGCGCTCGCGCGAGTGTGTGTGTGTGTGTGTGTGTGTGTGTGTGTGTGTGTGTGTGTGTGTGTGTGTGTGTGTGTGTGTGTGTGTGTGTGCGTGTGTGTGTGCGTGTGTGTGCGTATAAAATAAACATGTAAATACATTAGATCTAAAAACAAAAGAAAGAATTTGGGTGATTCATGAACATTGCATAATGTGTGTATACAATAGCAATTTTCTTTCTGCTCCAATAGTTCTTTCATTTATTCTATAATGAAGGCTCCCATTTTTTTTAACCTTACAGAATATTTATGATTAATTCATTTTAGAGAGATATTCAAAGAGAGTAACTTCAGGATGACCTATGGTCTTCTATACAACTCTCTCTCTCTCTCTCTCTCTCTCTCTCTCTCTCTCTCTCTCTCTCTCTCTCTCTCTCTCTCTCTCTCTCTCTCTCTCTCTACCTCTCACATGCATACTAACATAGCCTACACATACACCCACACACAAAAAGACACATTCACACACCTACACATAATATATATTTATATATTAAACATATACCTTTATACAAAGATATCACACTATACATATACAGAGAGAAAGAGAGACAGAGAGAAGGAGGAGGGGAGAGACAGAAAGAAGGAGAGAGACAGATAAAGAGACAGAGAGAGACACACAGAGAGAGAGAGACTGGCAGAGACAGACAGACAGGCAGAGACAGACTAACAGAAAGAGAGAGAGAGAGAGAGAGAGAGAGAGAGAGAGAGAGGGTGGGGTCGGGAGAGAGAGAAACATACACCAATATCATAATGATGCCAAAGTTTCAATGATCAATGTAGATTGCAAACTGCACGAACCTGTGAACACACAAAATAATGTCCTGTATGTGATAAACGTAATTTGAAAATAAAATCGACTAGTAAGCTTACCTTCTAATACAGCAATGGTCACAAGTTGATGGCAGTATTCTGGAAGACAGGTGAGGAAGAGACCACCCTAGTCCTCTGTTCTCACTTGGAGCTCCCCTGTTCACACTTGGAGATCCCCTGTTCACACTTGGACTGTTCACACTTGGAGATCCCCTGTTCACACTTGGAGCTCCCCTGTTCATGGTAATAATATCTCTGAAGACTTACTCTTTAAATAATTCACTAGCTAACTTCTAGCACTAAACAAAGTCGTGTTGCCGAAATAATTCACGAGCTGCTTGTCGCTTTTTGCAGCGAAAACAGTCTTGTGTTTCCTCTCCACTTCAGGCTACACACGACACACACCCAGCAACACCACAGTCCAAGCTGATAAGAACGAGCCTTGGCTTGGCTAGACCCACTTGGGTTTTTTCGGGTCACTCATGTTGACCCCAACTTGACTGTCTGTCCCTGCAGAGAAGTCCAGGTGGGGCGTAATGTAGCATGATTATAAAAATATTTATTTTTACTTCCTCCGTTCTTGCACCAAAACAGTCTCGAGGAGAGCTTTCAAGTAAGCTTATACATTATTGAGGATAATAAATACCATTTGTATAGCGCATTATTTTCTCACTCAACAGCAAGCTCTATTGGGGAAGTCCTTGGTTCAGACCTCGAGGGATATAAAAAGGACTCACAAACCAGCAAGTGTCGGTGACACGGGGTTCAGTT